GCTGGCTGGTCCTTTTCTGCGGCTAGAGTTCCCTGTTCACGGACCATATAGGACCACAATCAAAGCATAGGGGGGACGGGCGCGCAAGGTGTACCCAGCCCCTTTCGCAGTTGAATGCAGGCAGGGTCGACACGCCGTGCAAGCTGGTACGGGTGAACGCGCTCGGACTTCAGCGAGCGAAGGGGGGGAATGGTCGGCCAAGGGAGCATGCGCGGCGGGAGGTCAAGGTTTGGCGTGGCGCAGTCAAGACTATCCTCGCAGACAGAGGGGTCGGAGCATGATGTGCACTGGGAAGAGATTGGCTGGACAATGATGGTTGGAGTGGGTAATGAGTGCGGAAGTGATCTGGAGACAGCGTGCCAGGCGTCCAAGCCGTCAACAAGTGAACGCACGGAAAGCCCGGGGGAGACGGGAGAGGTTTGAAGGGAGAGCATGCCAGGTGGGCCCCGCGTCTGGCTAACTCGAGGAGGAGTGAACCGGTGAGGGTCAGCGAGAGGCGGAGACAACTACGGTTCGAAGTAAGCAAGATGTACCCGGCTCACGACATGGGAGATGGGGAGTGAACGGATGCCAGGGACGGAGGCAGGAACAGTCGGGATGAGGCGAACAGCTAGTGGAACGAAGAGACACGCAGGGGAGAGCGGCGTGTACCCGGCCTGCATCTCAGTTTGATCCAGGGGAGCGAGGGACGCGATGAGCGAAATTGAGATGTTCATGCAATGTTCTGTGAAGGGAGGGGAAAGAATGTGTTGCCGGATGATTACATGATAAACAAGTACTGGGAGTGGATGTGGAGAGCACATGGGCAAGGGAGCGACCTCAAATCTGATAGCCTATGAGCAAATCGGCGCCTTTCTCTGCTGCTTCAACTTCTTGCTTGCAGCGCTCACGATAATGATCCTTGAAACAGTCCATGGACTTACTGCAGCATTTGTGCAACAAAATCTTCGAAAACTTCATCGCAAGGGTTGATCTCAAAATCTCAACTGAAGGAGAGTCGCTGGCAAACACGATTGGCAATAATTGCTCTGTGCTGCAGGTATGGTTACAGACCTCAAAATCTCGACCGACAGGGGAACTCGCTCGCATAGCTCGTCAACAAACAGACCACATAACTTGGGACAAACAAGGTGTCCTCACATTGATGACCTTCCATCCTCATTCCTTACTGCCTTCCTGGGTTGAGAGTGATCGTGGAAAAGATCAGCGAGCTGCTGAACTCATTCGGGTGATAGACAAGTGAGCACGGTGGGCTGTCAACGAATTGTTGTTCTGGTGGATATGCGGGTGGTAGGGCTGTCGCACCTTGCCTGCCTCATCTGTGCAGGTGATGACGCTGTACCATTTCCCTTCACTTCTTCGTAATGATTAGTTTCTTTAAGTTGCAAGTATGCCTTTAGCAGATAGGAGTATGGGCACTTATTCCAGCACGCATTGGAGGGGGTCTTCTACCAGAAACAGGAACAAAAAGAAATAGTCGACAGTCGAGATATAAAGAGACTACATAGATATTATGTGCTTTATTCCTGCGCGCGCCTCCGCGCGCCCGCGCGTGTGTGCGCGTGTGTGTGTGTGTGAGAGAGAGAGAGAGAGAGAAAGAAAGGGGAGAGAGAGAGAAACTGAGAGAGAGGGATAAGGGGGACTGCAAGAGTGAGTACTCCCCTGCAGATCGCCGAGGACCTCGGAAGCGGGCGCGGCGAGTGACAGGCGCCATTGCCCTTGGCTTCGGTGAACGGTAGGCAGCCCCTCCCCGGGTTTCCTCACAATGTGCCTTGACGAGAAGCTCTTGCATCCGACGCAAGAAAAGAAGATGGTCGTTGCTCTCGGCCGTTCGTGGAGTAATAGTGTCCAACGGTGAAGTGATCGGCGAGCCGTGCTCGAACTCGAAAGGCGATATCTCGATAGCCAGGTGGATGGAAGAGTTGTAGGCCAACTCGACATCCGGCAGCCGCTCAACCCAGTCCTTCTGGTCTGGACGAATGAGAGTGCGAAGGAGAACGTGTGCGGTCTGGTGCGCCCTCTCCGTTTGGCCATCGGTCTGAGGGTGGCGAGCTGAACTGGGCTTGAGAGATGAGCCCCATCGCTTGATGAGCGCCAACCAAAAATCAGGCATGAACCAGGTGTCGCGGTCGCAGACGATCTCCTTGGGGTAACCCTTGGTTCGAATCCAACCTGCGTAAAGAACCTCGACCAACTCCGGTGCCTTGGCATGATAGTGACAAGGCAAGAACATGGCGAACTTGGTGAGTCGGTCAACCACCGTGAGAATCCCATCCACTCCGGTCTTGTGCTTGGGGAACGGGCCGGTAATGTCCATGGCAATCGCTTCCCTTCGCCTCAACGGGACCGGTAATGGTCGTAACTCGTCGTATGGACGATGGTTGCGGGATTTGCAGCGTCGACAAACCTCGCATGACTCGCAATAGCACGTGACGTCGCCGAGAAGGCCGGGCCACCAAAATCGCTGGCGAAGTCGGTCAATCGTGCGATTGACGTCAAAGTGTCCGGTGGCGGGAGCATCGTGGAACTCGCCAAGAAGCCGTGTACGCAAGCGAGGATCACTCGGTACGCAAAGAATGTCCTTCCCTCGCGTGTGGACAAGCAAGTACCCCTCTTGGATCCGGTAGTGAGAAGGCGCCGGATTAGGAGAGGAGCAATTCGCGTACCTGTCGCGAAACTCGGGGTCGGCTTGGTAGCCGCGGATGAAGCTGTTCCGCAGGTCATCGCCGATCTCGAAGGTTGAGTATACCGCGGTACAAAGATCCGGACGCCGTGAAAGAGCATCCGCAAAACGGTTCGACTTTCCGAGAATGTGATCGGGAAAGAAGTCGAACTGGTCGATGAAAGCCATCTATCAAGCGATGGTGTTGTTGACGGTGTCTTGGGTCTTGTAAAAGACCAACGGATTGTTGTCCGTTACCCATCGGAATTGGCTTTGACCAAGGAGGAAGTGCCGCCACCGCTTGAGTGCGTGGACGAAGGCGAGGACTCGGAGCTCCTTCTTGCGTGCATCGTCAATGGAATGCACGATGGGCACTTTCTTGCTGAAATGCTCGACCGGGTGCCAGTCCACACTATCATGTTGCTCGAGGACTGCACCAATGCCATAGACTGACGCATCTGTAGTGACGCACGTAGGCAAAAGCGGGTTGTATATCTGCAAGACCTCCGGGGACAATAGCGAGGCTTTGAGAGCCAAAAATGATTCCTGCGCCTCCTCTCCAAAGTCAAACGGTCGATCCTCGCATTGAAGCTTGGTCAAGTGGGCCGCGAGCTTCGAGTAGCCTTTGATGAAACGCTGATAGTAGCCGGCGAGACCAAGGAACGAGCCGACATCCGTGACGTTCCGAGGCTCCGACCACTCTTGGATGACTTGAATCTTGTCCGATAGCGGACTGATGCCCTCCGGTGTGACAAAATGGTCCAAGAATTCCAGCTCTTGCCGGATAAATTCGCACTTGTCGTGGTTGGCCTTGTACTTGGCACGGCGGAGCGTCTCCAGCACTCGTCGAAGATGCCCAAGATGATCCTCTAATGACCAGCTATAGACGAGAATATCGTCTAAGTAGACCAGCACGAACCGGTTCAACATTGCACGGAACTCATTGGTCATTGTCGCTTGAAAGGTCGTCGGGGCGTTGGTGAGGCCAAAAGGCATGACCACCCACTCAAAATGCTTGTACCGCATCTTGAACGCGGACTTGTAGCGATCGTTCAGCCGGATCGAGATTTGATGATATCCCGATTTCAAATCCAACTTAGAAAAATACTTTTTCGCCGCCTAGTCGCTCAAGAAAATCGTCGATGCGAGAAAGAGGCCCCGCATTCTTGACGGTTTGCGCATTGAGTTTGCGGTAGTAGTCGATACACAATCGTAGATCCTTGTTCTTCTTCCAGACGAAGAGAACCGGTGCTCCATATGGGGAGCTGCTAGGGCGGATCCAGCCCATGGCCAACAAATCGTCGAGCTGTGCGCGGAGGACCTCAAGCTCCTCCTTGCTCATCCGATAGATGCAACCTTTCGGCGGCACGGCACCGGCCTCAAGAATGATCTCATGAGAGATCGGCCGATCCGGCACCACGCCGGTAGGTGACTCGAAGATGTCGGCAAACTCGTCCAGCAACCGCACCACCCGGGGGTCCGAAGACAAGTTCGTAGGTGAAGCGTCGACTACCGCGATGGTCCGTAGGAAACATAGGCCGATTTCCTCGGGCTGCTCGTAAGCGCAAGTCGCCCGGAATGATTTGGCCGTCACCACTTGGCACCGAATCAAAGGGTGAGGTAGAGGAATAGTACACGTCACTTCCGCGCCGAAGGTGTCGTGAACACTAAGAGTTCGTCGGTGGAAGTTGACCGTGTGATCCGCACTTGCAAGCCAAGGCATTCCCAGAATGATGTCGAAGTCTGTGCCGAGAATATCGAATGTCACCCGTTCGCATGCATGAGGTGCGAAATAGACCAGTACGGCCTCGATGTAACGGTCGAGAAGTTGCTGTGTTTTCCCATCCGCCAACTTGATCGCCGTCGAGTTTGCCTTCCTCCGAACTTGTGCGCCAAGGTCAGCCCTTTGCATAAAGGATTGGCATATGAAATTGCGGGACGCGCCGCTATCCAGCAAAGCGCTGCAGGGTGCTTGCCCAACTTGAATGCGGACATACATGAGCGGTGCGTTGTTGTCATCGTACCGCTGCATGCGAAACTCGTGGGCCACCTTGGTAGTATACGCAAGGATGTCCCCCACCGCGACTTCGTCATCCGTCGGCGAAGTTGGTGGTGCATAGAAGGATAAGTAAGTGTGGAGATAAGCGCATAGTACTGCGCATTGTGGTCCCGACAAGCGGCCTGTGGTCGGGAGAGGAAGTCATGCAAAGTCCTTGGACGTGAGTGGGTCCAATACCTCTATGTTGAACTCGCTCGCCGAATCCCGTGAAGAACCACTTGAAGACGATATGTCGCCGCTGCCGGACGGAGAAGAAACTGCACACACTTCTTGTCCTTGAGCTTGAGTACCCAGCGTAGGAACGAGCCCGGCAGCATAGTCCTCAAAAGAAAGTAGAAGAGGAGGACTATCGACTTCCGCATGCGCCTCGGAATGAAGGTCGGTTACTCGCGAAGAAACCGGTTCCAGAGGCGTCGAGAGTGTCTTTCGAGTCACTCTCGACGGTGCTCAGTTTCCCTGTTTGCCCTTGCCTTTCAATGGGCAGACCAGTGTCTGATGAAGATCATTGTTGCACCATAGGCAATAGTGAAATCTTGTACGTGCCTTGAAGGCTTGCTCGAAGATGCCGTATTGGGACCAAGGGGCTGGAGCTGCTGCGCGAGGCCCGGGGCTAGATGTGGTGTGTGTCTTCGTCTTGCCGCGTCCTCGGCCTCTGCCGGGGCGACCACCTTCCCGGGCGACTGCGAGTCTGTCTCCTTTACTAGCAAACACAACCTTGTTGGTTTGGTCCAACGGCGTTGCCGCTGCGACCACGGCCACTCTTGGCCGATGCTGGTCCCTGCTCGCGCTTGCCGCAGACGAACGCAAATTTTTTGCCTCCTTGTTCGTAATGATGATCTGTGCGGCCTTGTCAAAAAGTTCTGTCGCCGTCGTCAAGGTGTCCTCGATGTGAGTCATGGCATTACTTAATGTCGGACATGACCTTGAGATAAAGTGGTGGCGGATGGCTTTGAAGCCCATCAGGATGTCTGAGACTGACGTCAAGCATTGGTACTCGGCGACCCAGTCCGTACTCGGCAGCGTGCCTTGCTCGAAGACCATGAGCTTGTCCATAGCCTTGATCTCGGGCGGCTCAACTTGGAACCGCACCT